AAATATGTAAAATTGAACTAACAAAAATAAACACATAGACTGCATTTAGTGCCTGCAGTGCTCTGGCTTTTTAAATTTTTTTGCTCATTCACTGGCAAATTTGCTAAATCTGGTAATTTGTAGACAGTTTCTTCATTAGTGAGAAAAATAAGTCAGTCTCATGTTCATTTTTCTTAAAATAACTATTTTCTAAAGTTTCCTTTAGAAGTAGAATCAACACTCAATTATTTGTGTTAGTGGAGGATAGAAAAGATCTAGTTAAAACAATAGATAATCACAAATTATTTAGATAGAGGAAAAGTGCTGAATTTTGTGGAACAAAGCGAGTTTGGGACTATCCAGCTCTCTCTTACTAAATTTTCTGGAGCCGGATTTAATCAAAGCCACAGCGGTGGCCCTCAAGAGGCCGACCATTGTGCCACAGGCCCTGACCCACAGCACAGAAGGCCTGGCATCAGGGGTGTCCATGAAGAAGCAGACTGGCCTGCCCGAGGTCCAGAGTCACTAGAATATCCTGCGCAGCAGCTCTTCCCAGACTCGCTGCAGGAAGTTAAATAGAACATATTGCCTTCCTGTTTGACTTTAGAATTAAATTTCTCTATAAATATCACATCAGCCCTCATAAGAGAGTTTCCTTAGGTAAAGAAATGCTGTGAGTATGTGGACGGAAATAGAGACAGAAAAGGATAAATGCCATCAAGACACCATACCGAGCAGGGAGAGCCGGGTGTCCTGTGTTCCTTTTCTGTCCCCCCATAAAGCAAAGTGGGGAAGCCCTGTTCCGTATATCACAGACACATTGGGCAACGTAGCCCAAAACAGTCTGTCATCAGAAATGTTCAGTCAGGCAGAAAATCGCTTAGCAGATGAGTCAGAAGTCTCTCTTCGGGGACAAGGGGTGGAGGGAAATGTAACAGTTCTGTTGAGGGAGGCACCCATTGCTGACTCCATTTTGGAACACTGTAATAGGCCTCGTGCACCTTTGTTCAGAACAACATTATCAACAAGGAGAAAACCTCAGCTGTCTAATCTGTAGCTTATCATGAGATTCCCTGTAATTCACAGAATTGGGAAGAATTTCACCCAAGACACGAACTCTGCGGGTGTGTGTCTGTGTGTGTCTGTAGTCTGTGAGAATCTCCTGGGCTGATTCTAGTGTGACTTTTTTTTTGCCTCCTAAGCATATATATTCATATAGGCTGAATGGATACTAATTGCCTTAAATGTGATTTTTTTTTTTTTTAATGTTGGGTGTATTTTTTTCAACAAGTACTTATTTCTGGAACAACAATGTGAAATGTTTGGAACCTTGCTTTAGTGTGCAGATGCTCCTTTTCATTCTGACACTTTGGAATGCATTTGATGCACAAGATTATGCAGGCTCAAAAGTGCATATAATTTCAAGAGCTGGATGAGTCTTGTAGTTCATCTTTCCCTAACCTCTCATTCTGTAGATGGCAAAAAACCCACAGCTCAGATGTGTTAGGTGCTGCATGGGGAGGAGGGACCCACCGCTGCAAGGCCAGATTTACAGTTTCTGCACAGATCGCGTGCACGGGACGCTTTCTGGTGACTCTAACTGTGCGGTGTTCAATGATTCTGTGACGATGTGTGGGCCACGTGACTCAGCCGAGGCCGCCCTCGTCACCACGGGGAGTCAGATGAGCTCCTTCCACCAGGCACGGAGCCTTCCTTTGTGGCCAGCCCCAAGGCCCGGACAAAAGGCCCATCCTGGAAAAGTCCCGAGTGACGGTGGCTCTGCCAGCCGTATCATCGCAGCCAGCGCCACAGTTTGCTTCCTCAAAGCATCAGGCAGTCAGTTTGTGAGTAGCTGAGAACTTGTGATGAAAGCTTTATTTTATTATTGTCTGTGCGGTGGACATTGAGGATTATACTCACTCAAGAAAGAAAAAGGCCGCCCTCAAGTTAGGACGCGTAGGCTGTCGTAGGCCTGCAGTTGATCTGTGTGGGGCCCATAGCAGTACTGTGCAAAGATTTGCCTACTTTTCTGATGATCATCACAGATAATCACACACTCATTGCCTGGGGGAGGCAGAGAAACTCACTAAAGGAGCAAATTACAGGGATTCCTGATGCACGGATGTCCACGCCGTCCGGCCCTGGAAGCATCCCAGGCTCTGGCATTACTACCCCAATGGAGTAGAAGAGGTGAGACCGCAGCCTCCTGAGGCTTCAGGTGGCCATGAAGTGCCCAGCTTCTCAAACTTGTGAAGTGACAACGACATTCGAGGTGGGGTGACTGGCTGCTGGTGGGGAGCGCCGACCCGTCTGAGGTGAAGCTGTCCATCTGTCTGACTTCTGCTCGTAACTTCCCCCGCCGCAGACAGAGCTGCAGATTTCCTGTGGAGTGCAGCCTTCCACGGGGCCATCTGATAAAATGCTCTCTGGTCATTGCTGAGGCCCCAGAGAAGCCTGGATGATGCTTAGGCAAGAGGAGTGGCCGGACAAAAACCTCCAAGACGGTGCGCACTCAGTTCATGGGTAATTAAGGCGGAATGCAGGACTCATTGATCTCAGGCCTAAATAACCTTTTCTTGCTAAGGAAGTTTTTTTTTTTTTTTTACACTTCAGTGTTTGCTGTGTGAGAGGCCTGTATGGGTTACGCTTCTGGCATCCACAATGTGCAGAAACTCCGTGGCTCTAAAAGTCTCCAAGCAAATGGGCTGGATGGCTGCTGCTGCAGCCACGGCCCGCGAGGTAATTTATGTGGCTCAGGAACTGTAGTTTTGTAATAGATTGAACTGTTAGTTTTCAGGAGGATTTAATGAAATATTGAACCAGATGCCACTGGTCTGCAGTGGGTGCAGGGCTATGAGAAATGAGGAAATGGTGCTCAATAACAGCTTGGGCCTCTGTCGGGAGGGCACAAACTGGGGACATGGTAAAAGAACTGGAGTCCGGAGAGGATACGGCATCTGCTGTCCATGGCTTTCCTTCCTGTGCCCCTTTGACTTGGGAGACCTGGGTTAGCCCAGGCTGCTCTGATTACCCGGGAAAATGGACTAAACCTGGAGGTTGGAAAGAGGGACAGAGTCACTCTGGCTTGCTTTACTGACCAGTGTTCATCTTCTGAAAATCCCTGCACTTCTACCAGGTACACTCGTGCTGCATTCCCATTTCCAACAACAGCGCAGGAAGAAAGGATCGGGATCGATCTGGGAAATTCTTCTAGGGTTCTGATATTCCAAACTGACCTTTATAGCAGAGGATGAGTTAAATCGAGTAACACTTAGAAGAGAGCTCTTGAACAATTAATTAAATTCCCTGAGATACACTGCAGCTTGTCAGATGGGAAGCCTTCAATTAAGGGAAATTATTATATGGAATTTACACTGTGGCAGCAAACAAAGTTTGAAACCTATTAATTGCATTTTCCGGTGCATCTGATCTTGCCCTCTGCTGCTCCCTTCTAGTACTAAAGACTTAAGATCGCCCTTGTATCGTCCACACTGTTCCATTGCCTTAAAGGAGAAATGTAAACTTAGAAAGGATGGGCCAACACTTAACTTCAGATGATTACCCTCTTGTCACTCGGCCTTGGATGGATGAGAGAAAACAAGTCATACAGATAAACCTGACTCTCCCTGTGTGTGAACTTCCCTGCCTTAGAGTCTCACCCGCTCTCTGCGACTGAGTTGAGGTTCAGCTCACCCACCTTTGTTTGGTGGCCTTGCTGTTACAGCCCCTCAGTTGCGCAGGGTCTTCAGTGCTTGGGAAATTCATGTGTGTTCAGCTACAAAGACACGTCATTCCAAGACTCTTTGCCACAGAGCACTCTGGGATGCTCCAGGAGGAACTGTCTTAGTCATCTCTCCAGACACAGTGGCTCGGAATGGGAGGCTCAGGATCAGGACCACCAGTTCCCCATGGTAGGGGTCCTTACTGTGTACAGGAACCACTGCCCAGAGGGCTGGATGGGCTGCAGCCGTTCCTGCCTGTAAGAGAGCCCCAACTCTGAGTAAGGTTGGAACCATGGGTGCTGGCTGGAACCCAGAAATATTTGTGCCCACCTTCAGGAGAGCCAGCTGAAGGGGAGGAAGAATCAGAGGAGCACAGTGCTGAGGTGCTGACTCTGCCAGTGCCTTGAGACTGTCATGAAATGAATGCCATTTGGCCTGGTCTTAGAGGGAGACAGAGCCAACTCCCTCGGCACTGTTACCACTCCCTGTGCCTGTGTGTGTGCATGCATAATTCTCTCATGTACACGCACAGGAACACCTTGTCTGCGTTTGGGATTCCTTTACAACTTCCTCCTGCTTTGCATGACCGCTTTCAGGTCGGTGATTAGGAGCAGGGGAGAGACTTTCACACGCGTAATGAATACGTGGGGCGCCTACATCTTCAGGGCACCGAGCTGGTGCTGTAGGGACAGCACATGCCAGAATCACCTGGGGTCCTGTAGTGTAGTGGGAAGCACGCCACACCCACACAGAGGGTTGGGGTGCAGATGACGGGACAGGGCGGCACCTGGGAAATGACTGCCAGCCCAGAGGGGAGATGTGCTTTCAGGTGGAGAAGTCAGGAAGACATCACGGAGGAGATGGCAATTAGGGTGGGATGTTCAGATACAAAAAGTGCACGGGTGGTGGCGTGTGTGCTGCTGGCGTATCACAGGGACAGCCACATAATTTTCCAGGACACCTGGAATGGGCAGACCCGTCCCCCAGTTTTCCTTTCCTCTTAGTGCATGTGCACTGCTCTTAGACAAGAGGTACTAGTCTGTTTACAAAACAAGATTAGGATTGATTTTATAAGAGCAAGGAGAGATGGGTCTGGGGTTTCACAGCATAAGAATTACAGTTAATTTGATAAAAGAAATCAGTAACCAGGTAGTATTAGCCCACGGTGAGAGCGAGGGGAGGAGTGTTTAGCCCAGAGACCATGGCCAGGAGGCAGAGGGAGGAAGTGTGTGTACGCAAAGTACAGCTTGCTCTCTTATTAAAATAAAAAATGACTTGCTACCTGAGTGAGAAGGAACATACTTTCTTATTAAAAATATCTTCGCCTTATGATTGCCTGTTACTGTTTCAGTCATAGCTTCTACTGCTGCTTTCATTCAAAAGCAGCCATTAAATTCACATCCTTCCTGAATGTGCCCAGTATGTGAAAGCTTTAATTAAATCTACAAGTACAGCCTTAAAAGAACAAGAATCAAATTAATTGCAACATGGACCACGCATTTGTTTCTCTGACAGTCTCCGTGCTTTGGAGAAAAGGCAGTGTGCGCACCGTTATCTGAATTAGCAAACTCAATATCACTTTCCATTAGCGCGGCCTCTAGGAGCCCTGCGTCTTCCTGGAGGTGACACTGTTTACATGCTAATGCCCTGGCGGATGGAGTCTGTTCCGACTGGTTTACCCCAGGAGTCTGAGCTGTAAATCCAGCAAGTGGAATCCACCGTCTTCTGCTTTCTGCCTCACTGGCTTTTGTGAGTTCTGTAGATGGAGCTTCATAATTAGACTGCAGAGTAATTAAGAAAAAGTCAGCACATGCAAATAGAGCAAAAAGATTTGCTGCTAATTATGGTCGTTATACCACAGTCAAGAAAAATTAATTTGCAATATTACTCAGTTTTTCACTGACCTGTGGTATCCAAAGTAAGGAAACAATGTTTGTGCTTTCAAAATGTCCTAACTGGAACTAATAAATACTCTTCTATGACTGGACAGATTGAGAGAAAAGCTGTGTATTGGAAGTTTTAACAACAACAACAAAAAAAAATAGACTCTCAAATTCCTCCAGAAGCTTTAGTGTGTAATTATTTTGCATTTTCTTGTTTGTTTCCAGGATGTGCACTTTTTAAATATGCCAGTGCTACTGTATAATCACCCTGGCAGTCTCTAAATGCCCACTTCGCAGCTTCCAGCACTTACACTGGGGCTTTAATTAGACACTATATAATTTTCTTGTTTTCAGGTCTTCACCTCCCAGCATTTTAGGCCAAGTGCTCAGCGCCGGTGAACTCTAGCTATAGTTGGTGCTAATACTCCACTTACAGGAGGAGTAGCCTTCAGCAAGGTGGCCTGGCTCAGCCTGCTGAGTCCAGCGGACATCTTGACGGTAGTTTTATGGGTTTCACAAAGTTCAGAATGAGAATTGCAGGGATCTCTGTTTTGCAGCATTGGCGTAAAGACAGCCTCACAAGCAGAGTGGGGTTTTCTTGCTGAAAACAGGAAGGAGATGAATGGACGCGCCATCTGTCCCTTGCTGCTCCACGTTTCCTTGCTTGCTTCCCATCCCAGACACACTGAAGATGAAGGACAGGCATGCTTGCATTCACCGTGTGACCATGCAGGGCGGGGGGGGGCAGCATTTTAACCATTAAAGGCTTTGCTTGTTAATTAAGAGAAGCAATACTCAAAGAGTATTAAAAATTAAAGGTTTAGTCCATCCAGGGTCAAATTGGGAAGTTTAAAAATTTATGAGCTTATATTGTTAAGTTTCCTGAGGGGAGGGAATTCATCTGTATTTTGAGCAACTAATGAATTGTGTATTGTATGACAGTATAATAAAGACAGAGAAAGAGCATACAGTTGGACAGAATCTAGAAGTTCATTTTGGGAACAAAGGAGCCTGTGTCTCTGTCTATTGCAATTCCTAAAAATAGGTCAGTGAGCATCTATCTTCCATGAGTGCCTCGGGGTTGGGAGTTAGATTTACTACTTCTAAAGTCCCTTTTCTAATTCCCATAGTTACTCATGCAGTATCGAAACAGCAATGTGATTTAATTTCACTGAGAAAGTACATGTCCCTAGGATTAAGTCCTCAGTCCTCCCATTATAGAGAACATTGTCCTCAACCCTTCACTTATCCCCAGAGAGCTATCCTTGTTAATAAGGGGAAGGAAGGCCCATCATCAACAACAGGATGATATTTGTGACACCTTCTGAACGTCCAAATGACTGTTGACTTAGAAGGGCGAGAGAAAGGCCACATGGAGATCACTGCAGAATGCCCAGTGGTTACTCATGAAGGATTTTGCTCTGATTAGCAAAGCTCCAACACCTAGTCAGGGAGAAAAGATCAAGGTCTGTCACCTTCTGAAGGAAGTCCACTTTACTCATAAATGCAAGCTGCTCTTCTCTGCCAGTCCTCTCCACTCAAACAGACTTGATTATCATGTCCTTCACTGTATCCTCAAGCCCTGCTCACAGTTTTAGCTCTTATTTTTTGTGAGTTAGATTAAATACAAATACACCTGTTTCTTTTCCGTCTTTTTTTACCCTTTGTCTTCCCCAGCTTTCTGTCACTGTGATGAAATACCTGAGATAATCAACTTCATAAGAGGAAGGATTTTTTTTGGCTTGCAGATTCAGAGGTTCTTTTACATGGTTGCTTGGCCTTGTTACCTTGGGCCTGTGGTGGCATAGGCCATCATGGGAGGAGTCCAGTGCAGAGGAGGCCTGGTGGTATCATGGTGGCCAGTAAGCAAAGAAACAGGAAGGACAGAGGTCTAGGCCACACCCCCAGTGACCTCACTTCCTCCTACCATGTTCCATTCCAGATTCAAACTGTGGCACCCTTCCTTTTTTTTACCTACCCTTGTGTTTATATATGCTTATTTCCCAATCATTCTTTACTTCTCTTTATATTTTTTCTGTCATTCTCACTTTTTTCTGACTGAGGGAATGTTTTCTTATTATTCATGCGTGTGCTGATACCTTTGAAACAAGCTAAATGATTTGAACTTTATCCTTTTTAAAAAGTATAAGAAGCAGTTCTTAGACTTTCAGTGATACTTTCTCAGCCTAAAAGGAGCTTCTTTAGCTCTACAAAGTTTTCAGTGCCTCTTTATTCACTTGACTTATTTTTGAAAACCTGTTGACAAAATAATAACTTAAAAGCAATTAAACTTAGAAGCATTTAAAAGAATGTTCACAAGTCCAGCTGCCCAGGGGTTCAGAAAGCTTTGCTCCACCACATGGTCAAGCAGCGTTTATGGGCCAAAAACGGAAGGTGGCACAAAAACAGCTCAATGGGGAGAGCTCGGTCTGACTCGTGGGAACATGGTCTGATCTGTTGACTACTGAGAGTGGCTGAGATTCAGGTTTTCAGTACAAAGTATACTCCAAAATTAGGCTCACAGCTATTTTACATGCTAAGTATCTTAGTCTGTTTTGTGCTGCTGTACCAAAGTACTTGAGACTGGATAATTGGCAAAGAACTGAGATTTATTTCTTACACAAGTTGGGGCCACTTCTGGTGAGGCCTAATACTGTTTTATCCTATGAGACAGGAGGCAGGCGTCCTCATTCTTTTATCAGGAATCTCCTCCTACCGTACTAGCCCACTCCTGGGCTCATGGCATCATTCCCTTCCTCATTGTCTTTGAAAGGTCCAGACTGTCAGCAGTGTGGCATTGGGGCTTAAGCTTCTGTCATTTGAGCTTTGCAGACACACTTGGGGCATAGCAGTTGAGTTGAAATTGCTACACAAGGACTCAAAGGCTGAGTTGGTTTAACACCACATGTCAGATACCCCTCAGACATTGCATGTCGGGCAATGAACAAAATAAGTAGACATCTTTGCCTTTCTGCAGATCTGAAAGTTATATCCAAAATTGTATTCAGTGGGTAGTCACCATGGAGGAAAAAGTGAGTCAGAGTGACTTAATCTTCCCCAGACACACCAGTCGTCCTTATGTTGTTTCGCACCGGTTAAACGAATGCAGTCGGCCAAGAGCCGACCATGGGACTCCTGGCATTTCCCAGAGGCAAAGGTGACTCTGGGCTCCTGCCGGGCTGGGAGGGCAAACTAAGGATTGGAGAGACAGGCGGAGCAGATACAATGTGCAGAAGTGGTCCTGGCCTCAACCTGTGGCCGTGAAAGGCCCTGAGGCTGAGCTGGATGCCAGCAGGGGTCTCATGACAGTGCCAGGGAGGGGCCGCAGTGGGCAACCATATCTCCGCCTCTGCCACTGGGCTTCTCTGCTGCCATGCATCCTGGAAATGTTGTTTAGTGGAATACACTTGCTTACGATTTCCCAGGATGCTCCTGGAATCAGACGCAGCGAGGTTCTGAGAGGAAAAGATGTTCTTGCATCCAGTTGTGCCTGGGTTCACTGTCTCTGCTGTTGGGCATCTTAAAATATTCAGCTTTTTAATACTTCCTTAAAAGGGTATACTGCAACCCAGAGAGAGGCTGTTCCTGTAAAGGTCTTGGTTCAATTTTCAGATGAGAATGAGTAGCGTTTGTTTGGGGCTCTTATTTCAGTGGGTTGCTGTCTCACCTTAGGAGCTGCCTTTGATATGTTCAGTTCCCATTCTACCTTTTTTTCCCGGTGCCATTACTACATCACATAAGAAAGCCCTCTTGGAAACATATCTCATCATTCTCTGTGGAGCAGAATTGAACAGGCGTGTAAATACAGTTGCTGAATACATTACAGAACCATATGTGTCTCGTTTATTTTAAAATAGTCAAGACATTCCTTAACTAGACTTTACTGTATTTTAAATATGTCTGAGTTAGAGCATGTTAGTAGACATCCCTCGCCGTGACACAGTTTCTGAGATCATCACCTGAAATAAAGGAAAGTTTTTGCTCTAGTTCAAAGCTTCAGAGATTACAGTCCATGGTCAGCTGTCGTAGTGCTATGGGCCCTCGGTGAAGTGGCACGTCATAGTGGGAGTGCCCAGCAGACCAGCCACTCACTGCACAGGGGCCAGAAAGCAGAGACAGTCAAGGGGCTGGGGTCCCAGTATCTCCTTCAGGGCCACACCCCAGGCCCCTGGAGTCCACTAGGCCCCACTCCTGAAGGTTATACCACCTCCCAACAGCACCCCAGGCTGGCCCCCAAACCTTTAACGTGGACCTTTGGAGGATATTTAGCCAAACCCGAGCATAGCATGAGCTCTTTCATATGTGAAGTGGTCAGCTTCCCATCACTAAGATAAAACCCCTGATACTTACAACTTAAAGGAGGAGAGGTTTACTTGGTTAACAGTTCCAGAGTGTTCAGTCCAGAGTTAGCTTGCTCCGGGGCAGAAGTGGCATGGTGGAAGGATATGGCAGAGGAAGGCTGCTCACTCCATGGCACCCAGTAAGCAGGAGAGGAGCTGGGGACAAGAAGAAACCCTTCCAGGCCACACCCCAGCGATGGCCTCCACCCAGGCTCCACCCGTAACAGCACATTCAGCAGTGCACTCATCACTGGACTAATCCATCCATGAGCACAGCACCCCATCATCCATTCACCCTTCAGATACATGAGACGTTGGGGGAACATTTTGAGTTTAAACCACCACAAATGCACTGTTAACAGTTTGTTTCTAGATGCCTCATTTGGTCATGGATGAGGTTTTTTCAAAGGTAGCTGACTCGAGTGTGTGATGCTGGGATTAAGGATGTGTCATTACTGAATTAGTCCACTGATTGGTTTGATCTAATTCTGGGTAGGATTCAGAGTGTCGCACCCTGGATGTGAGTGCTACCCTTCCTCAAGGCAGGTAGCCTGGATACAATAGAAAGGGAGAGAATGAAACTATAGCCTGTAGCTTGCTCCTTGCTTCCTTCTGCCTTCTGACTGCCACATACTGTTTCTCCTCTGCAATGCCCCACTGCTGTACCACCCTGTCTTGGAGCCAGCTAATTATGGACTGAAACCTCTACGAACTGAGCTAAAGAAACTTTTCCTCCTTTAACTTTGGGTATCAGAAATTTTGTCTCAACAATAAAAAGTCACTAAAACATGCACCCATCATAGCACCCTTTCTCTTGAACTTCCTTGTTGCCAAACTTTCTTCCAAGGCAAAATCACCTACAGAAATTTTTAGATATACGGGTATATGACCATCACTCTAAATTCCCCTAAAGAGAGAATAACCAGGACTCCTCCTCTTCTCCTTCTCCTCCTCTTCCTCTTCTTCTTCCTCTTCCTCCTCCTTCTTCCTCTTCCTCCTCCTTCTTCCTCTTCCTCCTCCTTCTTCCTCTTCCTCCTCCTTCTTCCTCTTCCTCCTCCTTCTTCCTCTTCCTCCTCCTTCTTCCTCTTCCTCCTCCTTCTTCCTCTTCCTCCTCCTTCTCTTCCTCCTCCTTCTTCCTCTTCCTCTTCCTTCTTCTCTTCCTCCTCCTTCCTCTTCCTCCTCCTTCTTCTCTTCCTCTTCCTTCTCTTCCTCCTCTTTCCTCTTCCTCCTCCTTCTCTTCCTCCTCCTTCTCTTCCTCTTCCTTCTTCTCTTCCTCCTTCCTCTTCCTCCTCCTCCTTCCTCTTCTTCCTCCTCTTCCTCTTCTTTTTTCTTCATGCTAGGGATTGAGCCCAGGGCTTCAGATGTGCTGAGCACACATGCTACCACTGAGCTACACCCTGAATCCTGGGCATTTCTATTTTTAAAAAGCAGTAGTTATTATTTGAGAACTACCATTCTATCAAAAACTACATGTGATAACTGTGGAATCATTGTGATTAAATGATAGCCCGAACAGCTTACTTGTCTTTGGAGCTAATACATGTGTTTCAACTTTTTCAATCATAGCAGAAAAATAAGAAAAAAGTCAAATGATCTGATAGCTTACCCCACCCATTTGTGCTGCAGCTATCTGATGACCATCATTTCAGGCACTGCCACGTAGGTCCCCACTTGTCTGTCTGTCCGCCTGCCTGCCTGCACTGAGCAGTAAAGGGCAAGGACACCTTGTGTGCTGTGCTGTAGCTGACTGTCTTCACAAGGTGTATGGTGGACATCTTGTCATACCAAAGGGTCACATGTGACAGCAGACTCAGCTTTACCAGAGGTTTTGAATTTGTCATCGCACAGCCCTGAACACTGAGATCAATTTGCACACCTTTCAAAAAGCTCATTTTATCAGATTTTAAATTATAGCTGCTAAATTATTTTAAATACTGAAAGTGTTCTCAAATCAGTAGCTTTTCTTTTTGATAAAAATGTTTAAAGTTCTACAAATCCTTTAAATGTGGTTAAATGGCTCAAATCCTTATTGTTACTGTTTTCCTAAAGATTTGACCTTATGATCGTCTTGTCAGACCCACCATGGTTGCCCATCATCTGAAAGACAAAGAGGAGGAAGGAAGATAGACAGTTGCGGGACAGGAAGAGTAGCTAAGCACCGTGGCTTGTTCATCTGAAGATGGCTTTTGCTCGCGTAAAGCTTTCCTCGGCTGCCTTTTCCTTCTTCCTTTGTGCCTCTCTGTCCTACTCCTCCTCAGGAGCCTCTGTTCAGCAGGAGCATGGGTGGTCCAAGCCTGGGGCTAAGAAGGGGAAGAATAAGATAGATGAGGTCACCACTCTCACAGAGCGCTCAGGGTGGCAGACTGAAAACAGAGAGAACAAAGTGTGTCCGGTCTTGCTTGCATCCTTGTCCTCAGGGTGATCTGTCCCAGGTCCTGGTGGAGGCACTGGCCACCTGCCAACTGTGTCCAGCCTTGCAGAGCGAAAGAAGGCAGCCCCTGTGAGCTTCCAGCCCACAAGC